TTTTTCTTTTTGCTTATGTGGTGCTGAGGAATCGAACCCAGGGCCTGGAGCATGCAAGGCAAGCGCTCTACCACTGAGCCACCTTCCCAGCCCCTCACCCCCACATTTTAAACTGTCTTATCACAAGCTTTTTACTTTCAAGCAGGCTTCAGTCAGCCAGTAGACCTCCCTTGACTACAAAATATTCATCCTCTTTTTTTTTTAATAAAACAATAAAGAAAGTACCTCTAAGCCTTACACTTAAAAGGCTTCTTAAAATAAATAATAATTCAAAAGAAAGTGCAATGGTGGTTTTCAGGGCCTAGAGAAAGGAGGAAGTTGAGAGCTAATGCTTAAAGCATACAGAATTTCAGTCTGAGAAGTGAAAAAGTTCTAGAGATAGATGGTGGGTAATGTTCACACAATGTGAATATACTTAACGTTATTAAACTATATACACACAAAGGTCAAAATAATCTTATATATATTTTAACACACACAAAAAAACTTTCAATCTAAACTTTCCAAACTAAACAATCACATTTCAGCCTGTTTTGGAAGTCAACAAAGTAAAAGACTCTTGCCTGGGTTTAATTTCTCAGCCAAAGTCCTATCCTTTCCATCATTTTTCCATCTACATCAAATCTACAGAGTGGGCTAGCAGTCCCATAGGGTGAGATACACAGCCCAGGTGGAAACAAATGCAGAAAAGAGGGTTGAGGGCAACAGTACAGATAAGTCTCTTTTACCTAAACATTAATTTCTCTTGGGAACTTTCTGAAATTAGTCTTCTGACCCCAAAGAAACTCATAATAGCTTGATGTTAATGGCTGATTTAGCTTAAACAGTTGTTACCCTGCCAATCACCATTGCTGGAACCTGCTTCAATAATTATATAGTCTGTCTTCTCCATTACCCTTGCCAGGAACCCTGACAATGCGCTAGCAACCTAGAAACCCAACATGTAACTTCCAAAATATATTCTATAATGTTATATTCTCCATTCTCTAGCTAGAAGCACCCCATCCCAAAATTTCCAAATTAAAATATATTCTCACCATGACATTTTCAACACCCTATTATATGTCTGCCATATGTCTGACAACCTACTCCTCACTCACTAAATAAAACCCCTAAACCTAAAATATTTTACCTTTTTCCATTAAAACATACCTGGTGATGAAACTGAAGTCCTGTTAAAAGTGTCTCCATTTGCTCCAGAAGAATATTTATCCTGTAAAAAGAACAATCAGTGTTCTACTTTGAGTAAGAATGTATCATCTACTTAACAAATAGAAAATTACAGCAGACCTTTTCTATAAATACATACAAAGACTGACAATCAGGTTCCATGTTTGAAACCATAGATACTCAGTACCAAACCAGATACATAGTTTTTTTCCCTATACATACCTATGATAACATTTTATTTATAAATTAGGCACATAAAATATAGAACAATTATAGTAATATACTGTAATAAAACTAATATAAGCCAGGTGCCAGTGGCTCATGTCTGTAATCCTAGCTACTCAGGAGGCTAAGCTCTGAGGATCAGGATTCAAAGCAGAAACCCTGAAATTCTTTTTTTTGCCCAGGAAGCATTTTATTGAACTCAATTCTGAGAGAGTACATGGGCAAAAAAAAATTAACAAGAGTCTGTGGTCAAAGAAATTTAGAAAAATGGGTTAAACGGAAGAATTTCAAAGCATTTAATAAGATGGTAACATGCCAAAAGGTGAAATATAGACTGGAGCACTCTCTTTGTTTTCCTTAAATGTCTAAAAAAAAACCAAAACCAAAAAACAACAACAAAAACCCACAACATTTCGAGAGTTACTTTGGGAAAAACTTCCGCAAGTCTATGTGTTGGGTATTGCTGCCCTGTGTGATTTTTTTTTTTTTTTTTGGTAAGAAATAACCAGGAAACACAAATACATACAGATAAATATGGGTATCTTTTAAACTAAAACCCTGAAATTCTTATCTCCAATTAACCACCAAAAAATGCCCTCCCTCCACCAAAAAAAAAAGCCGGAACTAAAGCTCAGGAACAGCACTCAGGCCCTGAGTTCAAGCTCTAGGAATGGCACAAAAATAAAAATTAAAAAAATCTTACATAAATGAGGTCTCATTATTGTACTGTATTCTCCCTTCCTGTAATTATGCAACGTGATAAAATGTCTGTGTAATGAGATGATGTAAGTTATATTACATAGTCATTGTGATGTAGCATTAGACAACCTTGATCTTCTGAGAATGTTAAGAGGATCAGCTGCTTCAGAGATCCTAGATCATTAGCCCATGACAATGTCTGACAGGCAATGTATAGAACATGGATAGACAATAAGATGACTCACATTCTAGGTAGGGGCAGAAAGGGGTAGCAGGTTTCATCATACTACTCTGAATAGCATTATTTAAAAATGGTTTATTTCTGGAATTTTCCATTTAATTATAGGTAACTCAAACTATGGAAGCAAAACTGCTACTATATAACAACTAAGCTTGTTCAGAACAAAACAATGGTAAGAAATAACAAGGTTTTCTAGGTCCCTGGATGTTCGTTTACTAATTATCCCATGATAAGAGTTACTCTAACACTGTGTATGTATATGTATGTGTGTATATACAAGTACTGTGTGCATACGTGTGTGTGTGTCATGACTATATCACTTCAAAGAGGGGTAAACTACAGCCATAGGCCAAATCAGTTTTATTGAGCACATCATTCCCATTCTTCTATGGTTATTTTCACACTACAGTGGCCAAGTTGTGGCTGATACTATAAATCCTATTTGGCCTGTAAAGCCTAATTTTCTAATTGGCAAGAGTGTTTGCTAATATCTGACTTAAGAGCTTAGTCATTTTAATCTCTCACTCATATACTCAGAAATATAATTCATTAATAAATCAATCCCTGGTAATATGCAATACACTTTGCAGAGTTCAGTATTTTTACAGTATACTCATCAAAATTATACAAACTAACGTAGAACACAGAAAAGAAATTTGTAAGTAACAGACTCAACAAAAAACAATTTTAAGTGGCATATTTGCTCAAGCTGTAATCCTAACTGCTTGGGAATCAGTGATGGAAGGATAGAGGTTCAATGACAATCATAATTTACAAGACTCCGTATCAATCAATGGTTGGGTATAATAGCATACACCTAATCATCCATCTCCAGTGATATGGAAGAACACTTAAGCCTAGGCTAGCCTGGGAATAAAAGTAAGACTCTACCTCAAAAATTACCAAGGTAAGAAGGGGCTCGAAAGCCAGACACCAGTGGCTCATGCCTGTAATCATAGCTATTCAGGAGGCTGAGATCTGAGAATCAGAATTTTTTTTAATGCAACAAACAAGTGCACATAGCCTTTCATGAAGACAAAAATCTCAACTAAAAGTAAAAATTGAATAATGACTTTTAAAGTCCTAATTCAAGACAGTCAGTATCTCTAAAGTTTGTGTTACTACAAATTTATTGAGGACTAGAAGAAAACATACTCCTCCTCCAAGTAATTCCACTTAAAAAATAAATAAGCTACAGAAACTCATAATATCTCATAGTGAAAAGCTAACACAATTTTACAATCCCATAAAAAGAAAAGCAGTTATGGGTCTGGGTACCATAGAATATTGCTGTAATTCCGGCTACTAGAAAGGCAGAAACAGGGGGATCTCAAAACTCCTGAAGCCCAGTCAGTCAATCAATCAATCAATCAATCAAATGTCTCAGGGTTTAGCTCTAGCAGTAGACTGCTTACATAAGAAAAGCCCCAGTTTAATACATTCTGTGGCAAAAAGAAAAATCATTTATAATAGAAATTTGTGATTAACCTTATTATCAGTAAAAAAATATTTTTGTACTTTAATAATGTGAAATGAAAAATAGTATGAAGAATGTAAAAAATGGATTCAAAACTTCTGTTGTGAAATCATTAAAACTATATAAAATGTTTTGGAAAGGCAGAAAAATACTAAAAATTTAACAGAAGTGGTTGTGCTACTAGGGAAGATTTATAGGTAATTGTTCTCTTTTCCAAATATTTTTTAATTTTTTTATTATGCAAAGATTATGAAAAGGTACCATACAAAAGATATTGTTCTAAGAAGAAAGTTCTAAGAAGAAAGATTATAAATTCAGATTAACATTTTGGTATTTTAATCCACACACCAATCCAATCCAATTAAATCAAGATACTGAATATTTTCTATTTTTCTGTAAAATAAGAATTTCCACAAAATCAGAAAGTGAGCCAGGTACCTGTGGTTCACACCTATAATCCTAGCTACTTCGGGCTAGCCCAGGCAAAATGTTCTCAGTACTCCTATCTCAACGGAAAGGGCTAATCAGAGTGTTATGTGTCTTTCGGCAACCTGAGAAGCATAAATACAAGATTTCAAGGCTAGCATGAGCAAAAATTGAGACACTATCTCAAGAAAGTAAAGCTAAGATGGCTTGAGGTGTAGCTCAGGTGGTAGTGTCTGCCTAGAAACTGGTTCAAACTCCAGCACTGGAGGAAAAAAAAATCATGAAGTGTCAAAATTGACTAACATACAAATTATGGCTGGAGAAGGGGAGGCCCACCGGTATGATAAAGACAAAGGACTTTTAGGGATACTACAAAAACAATCCCTTAAAACATGTATCTTATAAAGTATATTCAATTAATTTCTAAGTTAGAACTGAAACCCCAAAACCTAAGCACTAGTTGTTTTGAATTACAATGTAACTCCCCCAAAGCATTTAGAAAAATGATCTCATAATTCATATCAAACTGGTGTCTGAACCAAACTAATATTTTTATCTTGAGAGCCTTCCTTGTAAATCAATTCCTAAAATTAAAATATTACCCAGATTCAATTTTCCATACGATTTAACCATTTAACATTTGTACAATATGTACACCCTAAATCACTGAGATTTAAATAACACTGTTAATATTATATCTATTCTATGTTAGCTTTTAGTTGTCACAAATACATTATTCTCTTTGAGGTTCAACCTACTTCCTTCTCAGTCCCCATAAAATAGTTAGTAGTAATCACCTGGAAATAACCTTTGACACACTCCAATTTACAATTTCCCCACCAGTTTTGTTTTGTTTTGTTTGTGGGTCCTGGGGCTTGAACTCTGAGCCTGGGCACTGTCCCTCAGCTCTTCAGCTCAAGGATAGCACTCTACCACTTGAGCTACAGCATCACTTCTGGTTTTCTGGTGGTTTATTGGAGATAAGAGTCTCACGGTCTTTCCTGCCCAGGCTGGCTTTGAACCACAATCCTCAGCTCTCAGCCTCCTGAGTAGCTAGGATTACAGGTGTGAGCCACCAGCGCCCAGCTTCCCCACCAGTTTTTGAACTTTGATAAAATTCGTAACATTAAAAACTGCACACACAAAAAAAACTGCACACATTAAATTTTATTACCTTTTCAAATACAGGAACATAAGAAGACACATGAGGTTTGATGATTTCTGCTTCCCAATCTTCATCTCCCATGGTGGCTTCAGGTTCTATTTTAATATTTTTTTAAAAATGCACTTTGGCCTTGGTTAGATCAAAATTATATCTTTAAAAGCATAAACTATAGGGCTGGGAATGTAGCTCCGTGAGAGCATACAAGGCACTGGATTTGATGACCAGTACTACCAAATAGAGAAAAAGAAGTTACCTTTTCACATATAGTTCTTGCAACTAGTTAATTACTCCCTTACCTTCCCAGAAAGTTTTTTTTTTTTTTGCAAAAAGAGGGATTTGGCCTCACCTCTTATCTAGAGAGGACATTTGTATGATTTCTTAAAAAAAAAAAAAAGCCAGTTGAACGACTTTTCTGTCTAGAAAGCATCATTTCCCAAAGATGGTTAGACTTTTTTTCCCCCAAAATCTGTTCTCCTTCAAAAGGTTATTAAAGTATTAAAGGCAAGGGCACAAATTTTTCTCATATGCGGAAGCTAGACCTAAAATACACCAGGACATGATAACTTATACAGGACTCTAGGCATTCACACAGAGGAGGATACTCTTAAGGGAGGAACACAGAGGCATAATGCCTCTGTGCTTCTGGTCATATAATACTGACCAAAATGAATTCCAGAAAATGGTGCACAAACACACACTCACACAAAAAGAGGTTCCTAAAGAGCCATTTGGGAGAAGGGGAGAATTTTTACTGTACTATTAAAGGTTTTCCCATTTGCATACTTTTTCCCTTTGCGTTCCCTCAAAGGTAGAGAGGGCTGGCACTGGTAGTTCATGCCTGCAATCCTAGCTACTCAAGAGGTTAAGAGGTGAGTTCAAAGCCAGCCAGAGAAGCAAAGTCCATGAGACTCTTACCTCCAAATTTAACCACCAAAAATCCATGACAGTTGTGGCTTAAGTGGTAGAGCACCAGCCTTGAATAAAAATAGGTAAGGGAACCTGGTGTCGGTGGCTCACACCTGTAATCCTAGCTATTCCGGAGGCTGAGGTCTGACTATCACAGTTCAAAGCCAGCCTAGGTAGGTAGGGCCGGCAGCCTCTTATCTCCAATAAACCACCAGAAAATCGGAAGTGGCGCTGTGGCTCAAGTAGTGGAGCGCTAGCCTTGAGCCGAAGGACAGCGCCCAGGCCCAGAGTTCAAGCCCCATGACCGACAAAAAAAAGAAAAAGAAAAAAAGGCTAAGGAATAGCACCCCGACCCTGAATATAAATAAATAATAAATGTCTTTTCCTGTTTGCGGGGGAGGGGAGGGGAGGGGAAGGGCAGAGGGGGAGGGGAGGGGGAGGCCCTACAGACCCGCCCTAAGAGGAGCGTTTGCGCGGCTCAATCTCCCTGGCAAAGGACATCTAGTTTCCCCAAGCAGTGTCGGTGCACAAATGGCACCACACACTTTTCATTTCCGAGAAAAGGCCGCCCAGGTCAGGGCACGTCGCTCCGTCCCCGCTTGGGCAGGCCTCACAGCCAGCCTTCGGCACCTGAGCGGCTCCGGGCCCAGCCGCCTCAAACTCCTGCCCGGCCTCACCTACTTTTCCTTTCGTCCAAACCCTGACTATGCTGCACCCCGCCCCCCCCGAAAAAGGTCGCTGGGCCCCCTCCCCTGACGAAGGCCACGGGGGCCACGACCAAGGCCGCCGGCCCACTCACCTCCGAGCTTCTCGCTCTCACAAGATCCTCGAAGGCACTGGAGGCTGCCTTAAACGGCTGCACGTGCGCAACGTGGTGCGTCAGGTCAGGAGCGCAGGGCCAACAAATAAAACCAGGCAACGAGCGCCACCAGCCAATCAGCGTTCAGACGGCACGGGGCTTCCCGCCCCCACCACGCCCTTAGGTTCACTCCGTCCGACGTGACACTTTTGGCGCTGGAGCGGCCGGTTCCACTGGCCTTCGGGTTGAGGGGCCCCGTGGGGACTGTGGGTACAAGTCTGGCCACGAGCCTTTTATCTACTTGACTCCATGCTCTCGGGAGGAATGCCTACATGTTTCTTGCGCATGCGCTGCTAGCCCAAAAAAAAAAGCCCCCGTCCATTTTTCTAATAGAAGTGGAATATGCGGAGAAAGCCTACCCTCCTAGCACTTTGGCTTCCTTTAGCCCTGTTACTCCTCGGCTCTGACCGTTATCCTCTCCAGTGCTGCATCTCTGCTGCGCTCAACTCACATCCGGGGAATCCGGGCCCTTAATGGGCAGCTGAGGCCAGTGAAGTTGGCAAATCCCTTGTTCCTCTCTGTAAGCAGGGTGACGGTGAGACTGGCCGAGGGGCACCCCAGGGGGTTGTGAAGAATCCAGTCTGTCATGTGAAGTTGTGGGAAGGAAACTGCCTCTGGATCCAGAAGAAACTCAGAAATCGGTCCCAGCATTGATCATTCATCAGGGATTAGTCTTTGGTTTATATCCTTAGGGGCGATGCTGGGGAATTGCCTGGCTCCGGTGGCTCATGCCTGTAATCCTAGCTACTCAGGAGGCTGAGACCGAGGATCGTGGTTCAAAGCCAGCCGGGGCAGAAAAGTCCGTGAGATGCTTATCTCCAATGAACCACCAGAAAATAAGCAGTAGCACTATGGCTCGAGTGGTAGAGCGCTAGCCTTGAGCTGAAGAGCTGAGGGGCAGCGCCCAGGCCCAGAGTTCAAGACCCACGTCTGACAGTATCCCCTCCCCCCATTTCTCCAGTAATAATAATAAGCACAACTGGCTGTTTAAAAGTATAATTTAGCATATCTGTAATCCCAGCTACTCAGGTGACACAAGAGGCTGGAAGCCAACCAGACAGAAATCTACAGAGATAAGCCAGGATGGTGGCCCCCGATTGTGGTCCTCCTTAATGGGAGATGCATAAGCAGGAAGATCGTCCTCAGAAGCCAGCATCAGGCAAAAATTTTAAAAAGAAAAACAAGAAACTATGTGAAAATAGTTTAAGCTAAAAAGGGGCTATAGACATGGCTCAAGTGATAGAACACTTGCCTCGCAGGCATGAGGTCCTGAATTCAAACCCCAGCAACACATACACAGAGTAATAAAAGTAAAACTAACCATTTCAAGAAATAGTCCAATGAAAACAATTCAGTGATAACTGGAATTTAAAACTTTAAATCTCCTATCTCAAAAGATTCATTAGCTGAAGGAAGACAGCCTAATCATACAAAGTTTTTACAATTTCTGAAAATCTTGTGTAATAAAGTAGGACAATAGTTTTCTTATAGAAGTGCGTTTTACAACAAGTTTATAGTTAAGACACTTTACACTTTAGAGGTTCTAGGTTCTCCAAGTTAATATGGATAAATTGCTTTTTTTTGTCCTCAGCATTATCTCCACTTTGAACAATATTTTATTGCTGAAGGTCGTATGGACTATGCATGACTTAACACTATGGTAAAATTTGAATCTGCCGGTAGGCAAAAAGTATATTACCTCAAATGGGGGGAAGGGGACATAAGGGTTCATTCTTAAATACCTTCTCTACACAAACCATATATTAAATAAAACACAAAATAATAGGTTGGAGCCACATAAAAATCAATACAAAATGAATCAAGTAGGGAAGACAATGTCTTCAAGATACTATCTTCCTAATTAACCAATATAGGGAAGAAATTCTACAGAGAGGCTTTCAGCATAGCAAACAGGGTAGAGATGGGGAATCATTTTTCTGCCAAAGGCCATTTGGATTTTTATAGTATTCAGTGGCCTAGATTATTTGAATATTTCACTTTGAAAAAGAGCTCCTAGAGTTGAATTCATAATCCCATCTACAGTTTTGATGTCATAAGGCTTTTACCACCCAAGACAAACCCTTGGTTTAAAGAGACAAACGTTATTTTCAATAATGTCTAAGGTGATATTCACTAATGTGTGGTGGAGATAGCACAACAATCTTTAAGCAATTCATAGACAATTTTTACTTTGATGGCTACTTTTGTATTTATACTTTATTATGTATTAGAAAACCATGGTAGCATACCAAATTTCAGAACTAATATTGTTTAGAAAGATGCTAATTTTCAAATTGTAACATAAAGAAAAATAGAATATGCAGGGATGGCAGAAATCATGAATATGGTATTCAAATACCTATGATGTGATACAATGCAAAGACAAATGAAATGACAAAGATCTGAGGACAGGTCACAAGAAAGATGTTCTTCATTGTGAGTAATGGTATGCATCATCATTCTATTCTTATTATATACTCACTTAGCAATTTCATGACTATGACTCATCTTCCCAAGTACCTTCACACTAGGAAAGAAGGTGACATGAATAAGATATATCAATATTACTTGTTCCCTATTATGAAATACATTGAGATTCTGGTTTGGAAACCAGCCTTGAGTTCAGGTAGTGTTCCTGAAAGTTCCAACCTGTAATCAACTATACCTTGAGTGTGTTAGCTGACCTAATACATTCAATGTTCCCTAAATATTGTTACAAATACATTTAATGTGAACCCTTTTTTTTTTTGTCAGTCATGGGACTTGAACTCTGGGCCTGGGCGCTGTCCCTCAGCTCTTCAGCTCAAGGTGAGCACTCTACCACTTGAGCCATAGTGCCACTTCTGGTTTTTCTGAGTGGCTATATTGGAAATAAGAGTCTTACAGACTTTCCTGCCCAGGCTGGCTTTGAACCGAGATAGTCATATCTCAGTCTCCTGAGTAGCTAGGATTACAGGCATGAATCACTGGCACCCAATTCTGAAAAGTGTTTTTTGAATGTCATTGCTGTCTTATCCTGGGTATTTTTTTCTTTGAAATCACTTTAGGAGAAGAACTGAGCACAATCATATCTGTGAACTTGACCAGGAATGAATACTTTTTTGTTTACTCCTCCTCAGACTAAAGTATTAAAGCTTACAAACATAAAAGAAATCACCAGCAACTGGCTGCAAATTCTGCACTGATTGTCCATCTATCAGCTATATGACTTTAGGCAACTTATGTCATTTGTCTTGGTAAAATAGGTAAAACAAGGGCCAGAGCTTTGAGATACTTTGATGATTGTCGTACCCTACACAAAGACACCAACCTACAG